AACGTTAGGAAACAAAACTTCCAGAACACAGCCACACAGCCTGGAAGACCCACACCAGCCAGTCCAGATGGACCTTGCCAAAGATTAGTCTATTCTATTTGTGGGGGAGGAAAAATAGCCTGGAACTTTCAGGGATATACAATGTTTCCTGATTTTGCTATTTTTTTCTGTATCAGTGTGTTTCTGTTCTGACTCAAAAGAAGGGGGGCTAGTTTGGGACGGGCAGTTATATGTCCAATATGAGAACATTTGGGTGGGGGGAAGAGACCTTCCCTTGAAGCTGGCGATCACTCTGGATCAAGGGAACAGCCTGAATTAAGGGGAATTGCTGATAGAAAGTGAAGATATGAACAATCTGTTAACAGAAGAAGGGAGGATCGAAACTCCAGAAAGCAGAGAAACATCTCTGACCTCCATTGAAGAAGAAAAGGAAATTCCTCCTCCTGAGATCTATGAGCAGGAAGAAGGATCTCTGAAAGGGAAAATCTTTGACAGCTCCAGTTGATTAACAGATGGAAATAAATGGAAAGATCCTTTTTCAAACAAGGGAAAGGAAGGGGAAAGTGGCCTTGATACTTCCTGGTCCAAGGGGAAAAGAAAACAGGAAGAGAGTGTGAGAACTGAAACTGTCAAAACTGGAGGCTTTACCCAAAAAATGTGCAGGTATCTGCCATATTCAAAGCAAGAAGAAGCTTACTGCCACATAAGGCTGGGAGAAAAAAAATATTAAACCCTAAGACTATCATAGATAGTGGACTGGATTGCTAGATACTATAGTAGTTAATTTTCTTCATTGTAACAGCTTCTTGTGTCTAACATAAGAGCAACCTATCTATCTGGGTCTTGTTTTTGACCCTTCCACTGCTCACTCCTCGATGCTGGTTCATTTTCTAGATTTATTGGTATGCCCTGGGTGAAGCTCTGACATCATCTGAACAAAGGATTAATGCTAGTTGTTATCTGCATTGTACAGTGCTCCTGTACCAGAATATTTCAGATGTTGCTGAACCACAACTCTGAATATTCCCAGCAGAAATAACCAAGAAAGATGCTTACTAGCAAGGAAGAGGTAGTTCAGCAGTGGCTGGAGGTTCACATGTCATATACCCATGGACTAAGTGATATATTTGCCACTGTTTGGGCAGAGCTAGGCTACTTGATTAAGCTCTGCTTCTCACTTAACTACTAAGGAGATAATTAACTGCTAAGGTAATGGCTTTAAATAACATTTAAACATGGATACTGTAGATAGATATCAAGTTAAAAATAAAAACTTAATGAGCTAATATAAACATTCAGGTTTCCATATACTTATAATTTGAAACTTTTTAGCATTATGCTTTCCTATTTATCTATGCTGCCATTTTAGTAAGTGCCATTTAATTTCCCATAGTGCTTCTGTGCAACACTATGAGGTGTTTTGTAAAAATTTAAATGGTGGCTTTTACTGCTCACTAGCATTTATACTCTTTTTTCATGTTCAAGTTCATAGTAACATTTCATGCAAATATAACTTGATGATTATATACAATCCTTAAGTACTTTCACTTTATTAATCATTTTCCTTTGCAGTACAGTGTTCCTTCAGTTTTAGAGACCTCAGTTTAGCAGACTTCTGATTTAATGGACAAAATCTGCTGGATCTAAGCAACTGGATCCAACACTCCTACCAACCAGTCTGTCATCCAAAATCAAGCACCTTCCCTAACTTAGAATAATATATTGTGGATCACTGCTATCTATCACAACAATTTATTTATTTATTTATTAGATTCATTTCCCACTTTTTGTACAGGAGTTCATAGCAGGGTACATAGTGCTCCATTCTCCTATCCACAACAGCAACCATGTGAGATATGTTGGCCTAAGATGGAGCGACTGGCCCAAAATTGCTCAGTATGCTTCTGTGGCTTAGGATGGATTAGAATCTAGGTCTGTCCACTCTTAGTCCAACACCTTAACCAATACATCACTCTAAATCTCTGGGACTTTACTGTAATTATCACTACTATCAGTAAAGTAAATGTCCTGTACAAGGGTGGTTTTAGCTTTAAAAATTCCCACTCACATTTTGATGCACAGCCCCACCCCCCCACTGCTCTCTGCTAAATCAAGTACTTATTGTACTGCATTCATAAAATTATATAGAAAACCTTTGTAGAATTGGTGGTAGCAGCAGCAGCAAATAACAATAACAAGGTTGATATATTAATAACAATATTAATAGCAAAGGGTAACTTCATAACTATGATTTAAAGTCTATGGCATCCTTGTCATTCTGAAAACTTAAGGAGATATGTTGAATAGCAGTGGAAGTGATTATGGGCTCTTGACCATCACATGATGGTTCTTACAACATAGTTATATTTTATTTATTTTATTTTATTTTATTTTGTCTAGAATTGCAGGACAGAGGGATACATCAGATGTTTATGTGTACATAATCATAGAAGATAGTGCTGAGTACTGATTGGCTTTTGTCATTTTGAATTTAAAATAACTTGGGACAAAATATGCATAGAAGCACAAAACCCGTTTCATCATATAACCCAATAATAATGCATTTTTTTTTATTAACAGAAAACTCTACAATAATGGTTTCACAGTGGTAGAAGCCCATGCATTCAATGGAACTAAGTTAGATTCTGTGTAAGTAAATAATATAAGATAGCATTTGCATTGTACTTTAACAGCTCAAAATAAGTACTCACAAATATTCTCTAACTGTAAACCTTACAAGGCTGAAAGGTAAGTCAGTGTTAATTCTTTATGTTAAATGTGAGGACTGAGGATGTCATTAACAGGTTCAATGCAAAAGTGAGATTCAAGCTGGGGAGTTTCTGAATTTTCATTCTCTGAACCAGAATACAGGTAGTTCTCACTTAACGACTGCCCTGTTTAGTGACCTTTCAGAGTTATGACAGCGCTGAAAAAGTAACTTTATGACAGGTCCTCACACTTACAACCACTGCAGCATCCAACGGTCCTGTGACCACCATTTGAGCACTTCACAGCCTGCTTCCAACAAGCAGAATCAATGGAGAAGCCAGCAGTAAAATCACAAGTCATGGTCATGTGATATCTCAACAACCGCATTGCTTAGCAATGGAGTTGCTGGTCCCAATTGTGGTCATTAAATGAGGACTACCTGTATTAAATCATCTTCCACAAAGAAGCAAACTGCTGAAAATTTATTTGTGAATTTAGTTGGGTGAAATATAATTTCTTCACTTTATCTGAAAGTAATCAAGACACATAAAAATTGTGAAAGCGTATGAATTCCATTTCCAGGATGATGTTGATGTAAATTTTGTGAATACCAAAACCTCTGGGTAAAACTTTGTTCCTAGCAATGTTTTCAAGGCAAAAAGGTATCTTTTGGGCCTCTAATACTGGTAAAACTCTTCACAACAATTGAAATACATTACTAAAGAGTTACGTATGTCCAATCAGTACTGTGATTTCATTCTTTTTAGAAGCAGTAGTAACTAGTAACAGTTGCATATAATGTAACCTTGGATGAAAATTAATAGCATCTTTAAGATCGATGAAAAGGATATATTATTCTCCTTTTATTCCTTACAGATGATAAGAATTAATATACGCAGAAAGATGTATGCTGGACATAGCCACCTTCTGCATTTCATTTCAGGCATGATAACTTGTTAATGTGTTAGCACTTGTTAGAAATAGGTTTAAAAATAGGTTAGTTTTGATTTTGGATATATAAAAAAATCTAATGCACTACCAATGCACATTGGGAGGTCACAAAAAAGTATTCCAGACCATATTGTTATCTTTTTCCAGCACCCACCTGTTCTTGCAAGTCCATTCCCAGGTGTTCCAAAATCTTTGAAGTCATCTGGCAACCTGAGAAATTATAGGGGTTGTTTTATCCTAGGACTTGCTTCCTCTCTATCCTGAAGCTCCCAGCATCCACTTCCTTGACTGCTTTGATGCTCTAAGATCACATCATATGACAAAGCCAGTTATATGATGTGATCTTAGGTACTCTGTATTGCTGATGGTAAGCACTTCATTTTTATTTTTACTCTCCACCAGCATTGCATCAGTAGGTTTCCCAAATAACTTTTGCCTCACAAAATACTTGGGTGCTAGATTAATTCTTGACTTATGATCAACTTTCCAATTTCTAAGCATAAACCATGACATGCTGCCACTCTGACTGCCAAAGGCCAGGCTGCAAACTGAAGACTGTCTAAGGTTATATCAGCAACTACTCAACTATTTTGGCAAAGTTGGTGAATACATCTTTAAGATGCAAATCTCATCTGAAAGCAAATCCTCCACTTACACACCCAAATTAATATAGCCCTAGCAGCTACAAAGCCACTAGGTTTCTTAGTCTGGTCTACCTTGTTGGTCGGACACCAATTGATGAATTCATCAATAGAAGGTGTCTTAAGCTATTCCATGGGCTCCTGGAGGAGAAGACATGATTTATTAACCAGAGTTGGGGGCTCATATTTACTCAGTCCAACTCATTCTTGATAACTTCTGTGAATAGCTGTGGAAGACTGGCTGTAGAATAGAAAACTTCAGTTGAACTGCATTCTTTGAGCTTCATAGTCTATGGTAGCAGAGGAAACCAAATTCAAATTAATCACTGTCAATAATTTTCTCTTAACAAGGTCAGTGTTAAATATTCTCCGAAAGCTACTGCCAGTCTTTTCAAATTTTTCAGTTGATATCTGACCCTGATCCAAGTCAAGACAGCCAAAGAATGGGACAGTAAGACAGGGTAAGACTGCCCTGTCCATCTGCTCAGCTGGAATGCTGGTTCAGTCCTATTAACTTAAGTATTATGAATACTGAGGAAGGGGAAGAAGAAGTCCTCTCATTGCCATACCTCTTATCCTGAGAATGGTTTTCTGTATTTTGATTCTCCATATTCCTTAGCCTGGGTCACTTATCTCTTTTACTACCTCCTCCCAGAACAAGTACTGGAATATTCCAAAACAAAGAAAGAAAGGAAAATGCAGACAAGTGGGGGAGAAAATCCACTCCATGAAGCAGCACATTTTGTGTATCACCTCTTTCACTGCTTCCTATCCACCATGCAGTCTGATTTGGCTAAAGTGGCTTCCCAGCTATCTCTACAATTTTGCACATAGGAACTTACGGATCCCTGACTATGCACCAAAAAAAATGGGTGGGGAAAAATTTCTGGCTGGAGGAAAAGACAGCCAACTCCTTGCTCCATGTTCTCACAATCTTCTATTCACTCCAATCTCTTTTTCAGTCCCATTAAGTTTATTTTATTCTATTAGTTCAAATGCAATAAATGTATTTCTTGGCTCAGATGGAGCTGAGAAGAAAAAGACCTTCTTCTTCACCAGAAGGCAGAGCTAAGACTGAGGAGGGAGGAGGTACCCTCTATTGGAGGCAAACCTTAGCCTGGTCTTCTGACTGACTGAAGTGGAATTAACCCTTTCCTGTCAGCTCCATCTTCAAGGACAGAGAATTTATTCAGTAACAATTTACTCAAAGTTGTATAAACTTTCTGCATTAACTGGAAATATCACTACTGTCCCAGATCTTCACTGAACTTTATTGCATGCATCTGATGAAGTGGATTATGATCCACAAAAGTGTTTACAGTGATATCTGCATTACCTTTCAAGATCTCATAAGACTTTTAAATTTGTGCTACTTCTCCTTCTGTTTGCTATTGGTACTCTTTTTGTTCCACTCTGTGTTATGGGAGTTTAAACAATGGTTCTGAACTACTTTTGGAACATTTTAAAAAAATTTTTTATGTAAAATACTTCACTGTAAATTATCTGAATTGAAATTAACATATTTGTTGTGCAACCCCTGTATGGTTTATGTAACATACTGATATAAACCATAACACAGTTCATAAAACATAGGTACAAATAAATTGTGCTCCCGCTGTTGTGTTTGAAAAAATATTTTGATGGAAAGCTAATCAGTGCCATGTATCAGTTGTGTTCCTGAAAACTCTTAACTATATAATGTATCAATCAATTTATTTATTATAATTGTAGACCAGTACATTATTATCTTAATAGATAATAAACGAAATAAAATTTAAGACAAAGTTAAAGTTAAAATACATTTATAAAACAACCTAACTAGCATCATTGAGTGAGGTTCAGGATACAGTCTATATTTAAATTATAAAATAGACACTAAATTATATAAAATATAATAACATCTAAAATTACAAAAAAGTGATAATATCTAAAATTTAAGTGAATTTCAGTTACATAGAGTGCATTTAGCTAGTGAAAAATTGGCCCATCGGGGTCCAGTGGATCTTCCATGCTGCTGCAGAAAACCTAGCTACTTGCACTGCAACAGAAGGCAGTTTGTCTATGAGCAGCATCTGGGCGTAGGCTGAGTCTGGCTGACCAGAATATCTACTAATCAAAGGTATCTGGTTTGAATGTTTCCATAAAAGGAGCAACAAAGAAGAACATGTTCTGTAGTTTTCACCTCTCTGGAATCACAGGGCAGAGCCTTTCAGCCAATGGTACTTTTTTATATTTACCATCCAATTCTGCAGAGGGGAGAGCATGACATTGGGCAAGAGAGAAAGCTTTCTGATGGCTGGGTGTTTCTAGCTGTGTAAGATAGCTGGCAGCAATGACAATATATCTGTTGTGTACTGGTAACAGGAAGGCTAGAGCCTTCCCTAGATCTACTTGCTGCTCCATATCCTTTATCTTTTGCTTCAGGGTTTGTTTCACCTGATCATATTTCATCTTAAGAACTGAGGAGGGAGAGTAACCTAAATTTAAAAGTTTGGATTCAACAGCCTTGATCCATGCAGATTGAAAATTGTCCTGGACAATTAATGGTGCCAGGCCTTGAGGATAAAAGTTAAGCTTTAACCAAAGGTTTATAGAAGATAGACACACTCTTGACTCAACTTGTATCATACCTGTCTCCAGTCATAAATGTACATTGAAGACACAACAAAATATCTGAAGGGCTGCTCTGATGAATTTAGATTGTACTCTCTCCAAGGAGGTGAAACAAGAAGCTGAGGGGCCAACCAAGGTCCCATAAAGGAGCTGGGCAAGTGGCTTAGCCTAAAAAAGCTTAAGTGAAGCTGGATGGCACTGGCAGATCTTTGTCCAGTAGCAGCAGCATATTCACAGTGGGCTTTCCTTGAGCCAGTGCCATGCATGACTCCTCCCAAATACTTAAAGCAGGTCATTTGTTCTGTTCTATGGCCATTAATGCTGCATGAACGAAGCTTCAGCCTTTTGGCAAATGCCATAATTTTGGTTTTCTGGTAGTTTATTTCTAGATGATCATTGTTGCCTTATTGGACCAGAGTTCTTAGAACTCTTTTAAGGCCTATTGATGTTCTGGAAAGAGCGACAGTGTTGCCTGCATAAAGCAGCAAGGCAATGCTGCAATCCCCTAGTTTAAGGGGATGGAAATTTGGATTGTTTAAACATCTCACCATACCATTGATATAAAAATTGAAAAGCTGGGGGGCCAAAATGCATTCCTGTTTTACTCCCTTTTGAGTTTTAACCAGCTTTGAGAGAAACCCTTACATATTGCACCTGACCTTAAGAGTTATATTAGTGTGTAGGGCTCAGATTAAATACAGAAGCCTACTGTTGATGGATGAGGCTTCCAGCTTCTCCCATTATTTGGTCCTAGATACAGAATCAAAGGCTGCCTTAAGATCTATAAAGGCAGCATACAATGATACCACATTGTTGGTTGAATATTTTTCAATCAAGTGCTGTAGGACCAAACATTGATCAATGGTGCTTCT